TCAGCCTCCGCGTCTGCAGACGGGTGGCCCGGTGCTGCCCGCCCACCGGTGCCGCCCGGCTGCTGACACCATCGCTCGCTGGTTTCCCCTCATCCCCCAGGCCACTCAGGCCTCGGCCATCAGCGCATCCCGTCTTTCTCTCTGAAGCCCGTGGATACGGCAGGAGGAGGAAAACCCTGGTGTCCCTGAAGGACACGACTTCCCCACGGCACTGCCCACGCCCCACGCCCCACGCCAGGCCCTGGTGGGACCTCTGGCTGTTCAGCCTGCGGTCCCACAGCAGCAGCTTCTCTTGCTCACGGACTGTGACGCTCCAGTCAGAGACCAGACCCGAGGCGGAGCGGCAGCAACAGGCACCGTCCCCCCAACAGCGCAAACCCAGGCCTGGCCGGTGGCTCAGTGGTCGGAGCCTTGTCCCGAAACACCCAGGTCGTGGGTTCGATCCCCGGTCAGGGCACATGCATGAATCAACCAACGAATGCATCAATAAGTGAGCAATAAAACTGATGTTTCTCTCTCAAAATCGATTTAAAAAACACAAAGAAACACAAGCGCACGCATTTGTAAAGTCATTCTGCACGTGGCGGAGGCTCGGGGTTCAGTCACAAGCGCCAGGGCTCTCGGCAGGTGCCGGCGGCTTGTCATGCACGTCCACTCAGCAGCCACGTGTGCACGTGGAGTTCACGGCTAATCACATGAAGGCCCTCCTCAGGCACGGGGCTAACCAGGTACAACACCCTGTTGTGCCGAGGACACTGGCAGCCGCGGGAAGCGTCCGTGCGCGTGTACCTGCCTGCGTGTAGACAGGCCGTGTGTGACGGGAGAAGGTAGGTGCGGATGCGGCGGTGCCCAGCAGGTGAGCGTGGAGAGCATGTTCCTGGCATCCCGGCTAGAGGGCCACCCACCAACCCAGAGGCCTCAGGACACTGCGAGAGATCGAGCCTCGGCCCTCTCCCTGGACAGGGACAGGGGCGGCCAGCACCCACAGGGCTGACTGTGGTCAGACATGACACCCCCACTGGTGCCAGACCCACGTCGAGTGCTCTCACTTTCACCTCATTTTCTAGAAATAAGATCTAGTGTTAAACACTCTAACAAACATGAACAGAAATTCTCATAAACTACAAAAACTCATTGGGATGTTAATGAACTGTGTGTGTGCGCACAATCCAAAAGGTTCATTAACATCCCAATACGTACGCATGTGTATATGTCTATGTTATGTGTGCATGCATATGTAAATATATACGTATGTGTGCACATATATACAATCGATAAGAAATCAGTGTCAGAATAAGTGCAAAATCTGAACTCCTCGTTTTTATATTTACGGCGGCAAAGGTTAAACATCACAAACCACGATGCCCTGAATTCTGCAGCAGGCAGGACGGACCTCAAGGACAGTGAGCACATGTGAGTACAGGTGAGCACATGTGAGTACAGGTAAGCACAGGTAAGTACAAGCAAGAACAGGTCCACACAGGCAAGAACAGGAATGCACAGCTATAGGCAAGCACAGCGAGTACAGGAAGGCACAAGTACAGGCAAGTATAGGCAAGCACAGGTAAGGACAGGTGAGCGCAGGTGAGTATAGGTGAGTATAGGCAAGCTCAGGCGAGCTCAGGCGAGCACAGGTGAG